GGGGGGGGGGGGTCAATAAAGAAAGGACAGTAGATCTCCCATCGTCTACCCTTGAACAGAGCCCCGCAAGGCTTTTCTTGGCCTGATACATCTCTATTCTTTTCCCTGGGGGCTGTGACTCTGGAGACCATCTGTTACTGCAGGTACCTTGTCAGTCACACTGAAGGAGAGGTCAGCTGCCAAGAAGCTCTTGATCACAGGGTCTTCTGCAAAGAAAGGAAGAGTGAGGTGGCTTGGATGGTCTGTCTGGTGGGCTGAGTGTGCAGTGTGGGCTTCCATCTTCAGGGATTCTTTGGAAGGAATGGGTGACCTCCCGTCTTTCTACCTGAGCTGGTCCCTGAGAGGAAGCTGGTTCCTCCCTCCAGGAAGGTGTAAACCGTACTATCAGGAATGAAGGTGGTTTCTTTCATTGGTGCACACATAATGTTTTGCATGTTGAATTTTTCTGTTAACTGATTCTTCAACATGGCCACACTTTTTTTTTCCCTACCAAACAGATTTAACTTGCCTTTGAATGTGCAAGAAATTCTACTCAAATCAAAAACATGGACGTGGCCTTAGGTCTTCATGATCACACAAGCCATCACTTCACCATGTTGGGACTAAATCTCTTGGGCAAAGGTGTAGAGTTCATAGTTCCCTGACCCCACAGCATCTCTTCATCCATTTTCTCCCTGAGTAATGACAGGCTTCCTCTTCCCCACGGACCTCATCTGTAGGTAGGGTTCTTCCCTGGAGGCACCATTTTCTGGTGAAGACCTGAGAATGTGGGGTCCTGAGTGGGGTACCTCACATGCTCAGTCTTTTAGAATTGGTCCTGTGCATTTTCTCAACTCAGAAAACCCACCCAGAAGTTGGTAGAAGGCTTCTTGCTCCTGAGGATGGCAACTGGGTCTTTTCTTCTTGCTGATTCTAAGTTTCATCCCTTCAACGTGATCCACAGTCCATATGCTCCTTTTGCGTGTCCTCCTGCAGAACTGCAGCTCTGAAGCAGCTTCAGTGGTTGTGCTGGAGGCAGGAAGTCTGCTCTCCTGGGAAGCTGCAGGAACAAAAGCCCAGTGAGCATGGATGCGGCCCCTCAGGGCACTTCTCGGCCACTCCTCTGGAATTTAGATGGCACTTTATGAGGACATGGTGACAAGTATCTACTCAAGTATAACTGGCCTTTCGGCAGTGACAAGAAAGTTGAGGGTTGTGAAGGATGCATACCTGCCTTGACGTCCACTGAGTTCTTCGTCTTCTGGACCCTCTTTCTCTTGCGTCTCTTCTCAGGTATGACCACTGCAGGGGCAGCACTAAAGGTAGCGGAGCTGCTGGCCTGTGGGGCTGCAGGGAGAGAAGGCCCACCATGGGATGGATCCACCTGAGTAGTCAGCTGGGCTTTGTGGCCTCTTTCCCTTCTCACATGTC